TTTGACGAACCACTATCAATGAATAAAAATTATATGATAATAAAAGCAATAACAATAATGAAACACGTGTAATAATTTTAATTATCACAGGCATTAGGGAGAATAGAAACAAATGTTAAAAATAAACAAAATTGAATATGATACTATTTTTAATACCAAAAAATAGATAAGTGTTTGGATATGTCACCATATTTTCAATGAAAATTATCAAAATATCCAGAATATGTCTATGTAATGCTTGTTTAATATTTGTCTTGAAAATGAAAAGTAAAAAAGCTGATCTTAAGAAATGTTTATGAAAAATTCTGACGAATACGATTGTCTCTCTGATACGGATTCTTTGCTAACCGGGAAACTAGGCATAGTTGCCTCCATTGCAATCGCCATACTGCAGCCTTCTTCAGGTCTAGCGATGTATGAAGGCTAAAACGTACACATCTGCCTCGGGCGGTGACCTTCCGAGACGGCGAAAACGCCACTGTCGCCGGTTGTGGAATCTTTCATCTTCGTATTTCTATTCGTCGTTTCTCATATAGTATTGCAGTTGACTCCGGTTACAGTGAACCTCTGACGACTAATGTGTTACGTTCACTATTACGTATAATTCCATGCGTTCACTATGTCATATTGCTTGTTTTCTTTTGTCTTAAAAGTCCCTTCCACAGCATTCATGTTGTCATAGCCTAACGGGATTTGTTAGCTTGAGTCGATGAAGTCATCAGGATTGACGGAATTGTCACAGATGAGGTGAAACTAATTCCTCAGAAATACGTTCCCGCCTAGCCTTTCACTCGCCGTACGCGCTACGAATATAACTCACGGGAATCTCCGCAAACCCATAGATTATTGAATTTCACTGAATGATCCGAAGATTTTTTTCCACAGGTTTGGTTATAATGAATTTTTCACATCGGATATAGTAAAAAATTTAGTATAACTAAATCATCTTGTGTTTATTTCGCCACCTGTGACTTTGGTTCACTATAACCCAAAATTTTCCGCGTTCACTATTACCAGAATAGAGTATATTTTAAATATTTTGGACTTGCATATCTTTAATTGCAAGATCCGGAGAAAACAATTCAGTTAGAGAAATTGGCAGTTGGGATTGGAGCGACACGGTATTGTCAAGCAACGACCACAACCAAGTAATGGATCCTCGCGCTCTGCTCAGGCCCCGGACGCGACACGCTCACGGTCGCTCAGAAATGACTTTGTGCCCATTATGATGTTTAGTATCCATCCATATTGTGTGTACAAGTAAAGTACAAAAAATAACAGCTAATTGTATCTGCGAAACAATTTCAACATCAAATAATAGCACTTACTTCAAAAGTAAGAATTCTAGCGACCTGCTGTTCTGCACGTTAATTTTCCGTGGTCTCTCCTATCAGCTCCAGTCGAATGCAAGAGCAGTACATTAACAAACGTGTCACGGAATGCGTGCGATATTTCCTCCCTCTTCATTGTTGTGTCCTCACCCTTCATACCTGGTTGGGGAAAACTCGCAAACTGACGGGTAGGACGAAGTCGTATTTCAACATCTAGCGCAGGGAGATCAACACTATCCGCGACAAAAAAACAAGCACTCATCAGTTATTATTCAATGACGAGTTACAACAGTGGACGTAGCTACAAAAAGAAGCATCCTCTAAATAAACGAACAAAATGTAATGTATACACCAACTGAACTGCAATGTGCGCACCAGGAGGATACATAACCAACAAGAGTGATGTTCGGTGTGACTTTCAATTATCACAGATTATCACACGGTAGAGCAGTCGTACGTTCTTCCATAGGCTATGACAACTCTGTTTTGATATCATCAGAAATTGCAGTTTCTGACTTGATTGATGTTTAATCAACCCTCCCTCCTTGGTTACTCGAGCTTTCAATACTATGAAAATGTTAATCATACTGTGGTAGCATGACAACCAAATTTGAAATTTCTTAACATATCAATTTTTGGTAATATGGGTATAATGTTACAAAAACCACATTTATTTCGATGTTATTTATCCGTTATACAATCCCTCATAACGATCTACTCGAACTCCAGAGGCGAAACAGAATATTTCGAGAAGTAAGAAAAATACATTTTGAAAATAATATTAGAGAGATACACAGTCTAACGCTATTCTAAGGAACATTTGTCATATCATACCAAAGAATATAGCATTTTATGCAAAGAAAACCGAACGGCGGTGGGTTAATTTTACAATAAATATGGTGCTTCTTTTCAATTTTGTCATCTTAACACATTTTTCTGTCATTGTCCTTGACAATAAACATTGTTATATGTTACAACTGAGTTTTCACAATTAGACATTTCGTTGTTCTTGCTAACAGTATTAACTGTTTTATTCTCTTGTGAAACAAAAAATGCTTTAATTACCTTCTGCCAATGTTTTCTCACTTCTAAAACTTTTATACGCGTATCGAATTGGGTCAAATTGTTTACCAAACTTGATACTATTATTAATTCCGGAAAAATATGTTGTATTTGAGCATATATGGGTCGCCTTCAGACAAAATGTGTCTCAAATATAAACAGTTTCACTTTAATAGAATAATATTTTTTGAGAGAAAAAATTGGGCAATTTATTCTATAGGCTTGAGTATAGAAATGAATAATATATATTTTTTAATTTTTAGGCTATACATTTCTGTACCAGCTTTTAATATTAAATATTTCTTTAAATAAAGAGTTAAGTGCAACACCTGACCAAAAATTAACGTCCCTCAAATTCAACATGGAAAATTACATCCGAAAAATTACCGTTGTTTTGCGAACACTTCAAGTTGGAATTAAGAGAAGTTATTGACAGAAAGAGGATGTTCAAATTGCACCAAGCAATCGGCGAAATTAAACTAGGTCACTAGGAACAAAAATTCAAAAACCATAGTGCATACACCTTAACGTTTTCATAAACCATTACTAATTTTGGACTACAAGTTATTTTACGTTAACAATAAAAACTAAATTGCTCCACAGTCACCTCAATTTAAGAGATTTTATTGGCTTCCCTATTAATCATAATAGCTGGCGGGGGCCAAGTTTTTTTCGTTCAAATTAGCAACCTGTCTCGAGAGATTATTTTTGTCATCGTCGTTACATTTTGACCATTATTTAAACTACTTTGATTATTCCAATACGTTTCTAACTATCCTATGTTTCCTTCGTATCTACTCCTGTACCTGTGGCAAGGGTCTAGAA